TTTTTCGTGTATCATTTTCATGTTGTAGCGGGACATCATTCTCATTTTGTACAACTGCTACTCTCCCAAAGTCCCGGAGAGGGGAGGTGAGGGGCCGGCGGAACGCTGCGGTCGGCGCAAGAGCGCTCTACCCAGCGGTTTGGTCGCGAACCAGCGGCACGGATTTTCGAACGCGCGGCGCGAATTTTCGACCACGGTCAACCGAGGCACTACCGACGAGATAGAGCCTCATAATATACCGACTCTTTACCCAACGTGGGGTAAAGCGGCTATGGTGGACAGTGTCCCGCAGCCGAGTTCGGATGACTGATCCCCAGCACAGCCCAGAGAAGAGCTCTGAGGAAGTTGAAGCAAGAGTAAGAGTAAGGATATAGAATCGAAGTGGAAAGAGGAGTAAAGGTCGTGGTAGACCGACGGGTGAGGTAGTAGAGTGGAGAAAGAGACGTACGAGATGGAGGAGGAGATGGGAGGCCAAAGAATGAATGTGAGATCACCACCACCAGGGCCATCAGAGCCAACAAACTACTGGGAAGACGTGGAGAGAATCAGATCGCTGTTGACCCTCTGTTTCGATGATGGACCTACCCCACGGATCTGGACCCAAGGGAGATGGAAGTGCAGGGGAGAGAGGTGAAGTTTACGTTGAAGACATCCCTGGACGACATCAAGGTCAAATGGCTAAAAGAACGGACGGTGTCTGTTATCTTCAAAGATAACGCGAGATTTCTTTCGAAGAAGATAAAGGACGATACCATTCGGGCCTTTGAGGACGGCTGGATTCTTGGCAGCGAGCGTTTCCCGGGAGAAGTAAGGAGAGGTCGAGTGAGGATAGAAGGACCAAACGCTCTGTCCTACGTAGCAAAATCTAGAGAAGTGGCGAGCTTCATGATAAGCGAAGGGGGGGTGGAGATCCCCACGAGACAAGCAAACGTCAACTACAATATACAATTCAGGCCTTGGATGATAAAGGCAGAATTTAGGGACCTGAGGAGACAGGAGGACGGCAGAACCTTTTGGGTAATCGCGATACAAGTTCCCTTGGACAACATGCCTTTCATCTACATGCAGATCGAGCTGGCCATTGGCAAAATAGAGTGGGCACATCCTCCGAACGCCGATCCAGACAGGCCAGCCCTTGTCAACGCGAGGTTTGACCTGGCAGCAGACGCGAGAGGTAACATGAAAGATAAGTTATGGATTCTGACGTCAAAAGGCGACAAGCTGGAAGTTAGACTAGCCTGCTCCACTACTCCGAAATGTCGGACATGCCGACAATTCTTCCGTGTAGAAGAGGAATGTCGAAGAAGAGGAGCACCAAATAGAGAGACAGTAGGGGGAATGAGTGCCCCTAGCCAGCAACCATCACAGGCGCAGTCGAGCACGGGGCAGAGGAGAGAGAGAAGATCTCAATATCATGGTCCACTGGGGCCACAACCCCAGATGGAGATGACTATGCCCGCAGGCTTCTCTAACGCTGCAGTTAACCCCATGTTCTCACCCGGGATCCACCTCCAGGCAAGTCCGTCGATGCAAAACTTTTATCAGGGAGCAGCCACTCAAGCGGGAATACCAGTTAGTGGAGGAAACTGGCAGCTCCCCGGACAACATTCAAATCAGGTCCACGTAGGGATGCCCCCTCAATTTGGGGGAGGCCCCCACTATGGATATGGAGGCCAAGATCGGTTGTCGGCCTTCCAGAGCTATCAGCCGAATCTTAACGCTAAAGTCTTGGGCCCTAATTACGGCATGAGAGGCGGAGGAGCCACACCAGGAGGAGAGGGAACGAGTCGCCAGGAGGAGAGAAGTGGCTTCCAGCCGGAAGCGTCACCGCAGCCCGGTCGAAACACTTACTCAAGAGGGAGGGGAGCGGAGGGAGATCGGGAAGGGTCAGCTTCAGGAGTACCATCCGATTCACAACAGAGATCAAGACCAGCAGGCAAGCAGCGAAGACTTAGTATGTCATCAGTCAAGGAGCTACACACAGAAGCATCAGGAGAATCGTCCTTTCATTCGGTGGGACAGCAAGGAACGTCTGTAATGCCAGGGCAGAAGACAACAAGGGACAGGAGACTTGCGTCAATGGCCAGAGGCCAAAGTGCGGGGATGGAGCAGCTGCTGATTCCGTTAGCATGTACGGCTGTCAAAAACGTCTGGGTAATTACATGGCAGACTGCCCTGTGCCCGTACACTCTTCTTTCGCACCAAGTAAACGACGCACCCACACCGCACGTAGTCATGCGGGTGGTAGAGGCACTGTTCCGAAGGCAGTTTGGTGCTCGTATGATAATGGACTGCCCCATGGCGAGGATCATTACAGAGGCAAAGGGTAAGAAGGTTAAACTCTTTATACCACTGGTGGATGCTAGACTGAACACAGAGGAGTTAGGTAGATTAGAAGGTTTGGGGATGAGACTGGCACCGTTGGGATGGTTTGCGGAAGGCAGGAAAACGAAGTTGGGACGGATTGCAATCCTACCAAGACTATCGGCAGACTGCCTGACAGAGCTGAAGATTCGGCTGCACAAAGACAAAAGGTTGGATTCACAGTTCGTTAAGAACGCCCTCACGCAGCCATGGAGTGCAAGCACGCAGGAGAAAGAGTCGGATTGTAACCTACAGAACACATCCCACATCCAACCAGTGGGAGGAGTACAGACGGATGGTTAAGCTCTCCATTGCCTCACGGAACATATGCGGACTCGGTGACACAGGCGAAAGAAGCAAAAAGGTGAGGCTGAAGAAATGGATCCATGAGAATCGTATAGCAATCATGTGCCTACAGGAAACCAGACTCTGTGAGGATAAGATACGAAAGTTGGGAGGCTGGTGGGACAGACCTCAAATCTGGTCCCCAACGAAAGGATCGTCAGGTGGTGTAGCTATATTAATACACAGAGATTTGGAAGCGAAAATTATAGATTACTATAAGGATCTATGGGGGAGATGGGCGTGGGTCAAACTAGGGATAGGACAGGAAGAATGGGTAATCGCCACAGTATATGCACCAGTCCGAAAACGAGAACGACTGATATTTATGAATGATTTACCGTGTAATCTACCTGACGTGGACAACTTGCTCATCCTAGGAGATTGGAACCAGACCCTGGATGAGGACAGACGAATAGAGAGGAGGAGCTCAATGTCAGGATTGTTGTCGATGATGGACTTTATGTCAGACCTGAACCTTTTCGATCCATACAGGCTGTTGTACCCATTGGATCCTGACTTCACGTGGTTTACACATCAGGGTAGTGGTAGAAGGCTAGATTACGTTCTCACAAACGAGAAAGGATTGGAGGCAATTTCCAAGATCGAGTGTCCTAGTGTACCACTATCAGATCACAACCCGGTATGGTGGAAGCGAGGATAGGAGAGGACTGCTGCAGAAGAAAGGGGTACTTTCGGTTGAATACCGAAAACCTCTCAGACGTGAACCTGGGCCAATGGGTTATTGGGTTTTGGGAAAGGTGGTCAGACAAGAAAGACCAGTTTGACTCACTCTCGGATTGGTGGGAAATAGGAACAAGAATACTCTCTAACTTGTCGAATGTACACTCGAGGATTGTGGCACAAGAACGGAACAAGGAGGAAAAAAAGTGCAAAAAGAGAGTAGAGTACGCAGAAAGGAGGATGAAGGAACACCCGGTTTCAGAGCTGGTTGGGGGAAGGAAAGGGCAAGGCGGTTGGAGCAGTGGGACACACTGCAACAAGAGAAGGCTGAGGTTTGGACGAAGAGACTCAAAATCAAGAATATCACGGTGTATGATCGAATGTCTAAAGAGGCCTTCCAACGTCTACTTCCAAGAAGAGCGGCCCAGGTTATGAAAGACTTGTCCCATCCTTTCTGCGAGACAGAACCAAGAGCCTCAAGACCGATGGACATGTGTGAGTACGCAGCCTGTTATTTCCTAGATATCCTAACTTCACGAAGACCAGGAGAAGGAGCGGACTCCAACCTATCAGACAACAACCCGCATTGGCAGAACCTAAAAAAGTGAGACTACCTAACCCAAGAAGGTTAGACTTGGACAGACCAATTACGGTGGAGGAAGCTAGAGTCACGATTGCCCAGATGGCAAAGGGGAAGGTTCCGGGAGATGACGGCCTCCCCGTGGAATTCTATTCGACCTTCTGGCATGTCATGGGAGAGGATTTGGTGACGATATTCAACAGTATGGTGGTGGGAGGGCATCTCCCGAGAAACGCATGTAACGACATCATATCGGTTTTGTTCAAGAAGGGAGATAAGAGTGAGATTCGGAATTGGAGACCGATTTCACTCTTGAATGTCGCATACAAGATACTTGCAAAGGTTCTAGCCAGGCGTTTGAGCAGGTACCTGCCGGACTTGGTGGGGGAGGATCAGGCAGCCTTCGTCAAGGGGAGGTCGATTTTTGTAAACATTATCACTGCAATAGAGTCCATGGAGACTGTACAAGAGGAAAATCAGGATGTTGCAATCCTCCTTTTGGACATGGAGAAAGTGTATGACCGGGTAAACTGGTCATACGTACTAACTACGCTCAGGGTCTTAGGTTTTGGAGACTGTTTCTGCAAATGGGTGATTGGGATGTATTCGCACTCCACGACATCGGTCATGATTAATGATTTTTTTTCAAGGAACTTCAAGCTCTCAAGGTCCCTCAGACAGGGCTGTCCATTAGCACCATTGCTGTTCGTACTTCAGCTAGAGGCAATGCTCTGCAACATCTGCTCTCACCAGAGGATTCAAGTCCTCCCCACCGGGGGGAGAGACTGTCGGGTAAAAGCGTTGGCAGATGACTTGTTCGCAGTACAGCAAATACGGAGCAATCATTGGGACCGTTGAGGGAGTCCCTAGGGGAGTATGAGGAAATGTCAGAGGCAGCGATAAACTGGTCAAAATCAGTATACCTCCTCCCAAGTTCATTCTCCTTGAAAGTTCAGTGGGGAATGAAAAGGATCGAACCCAACAAATCGGAGCGCTTCCTGGGAGTCCAAGTGGCGCTTTTGTCCTGCGCTGCGGACCAGGATGACCTGCTGCAGCAAAGGGTAATGAATCGGTTAACGACATGGGGGAAGGCCCCCCATCTTTCCCTGATGGGTCGAGCGCTAGTTGTAAACATGGCACTGTTTGCACTACTGTGGTATGTAGGAAAGGTGCGTCCCCTTGGCAGCAAGACAAGAACAGTGGTGAAAAGGAGGGCAGCGAAATTCGTATGGAAACCAGGCGGGCGGGATTCAGAGGGATTTATGCCAAAGGTGGCGTGGGACACAATTTGTCATAGCAGACAAGAAGGAGGGTTGGGCTTGAAAGACCCGGGGAAGCAAAACAATGCAATGGTAGCTACCTGGGTACCTAAGGCCCTTGCAACGGACAAGGAGGAGCACTGGATCCTGCTGGCAGAGACGTCACTGATGAAAAGTTGGAAGCTGGCCAGAAGGGAGGACGTCTGGGCATGCATCGGGATCGACTCTTACCTTCGGAGACCAGTTCGCTCAGAGCTGTGGACCGGAATACTAAAGGCCTGGAAGGAAGTCAAGCCCGACAGATGGACAGAGCCTGTTACGAAGCAGGAGGTTCTGCTGCAGATAATATTTGAAAATCCAAAGATAAGGAACGGGGAAGGAAAGATGCTGATGGCGGACAGGAAAGCCGGGAGTTTTGGCAGGACTTGGATTGAACAAGGCATAGTTCGGATCAGAGACATTTGGAACGAATTCAGAGAAGACTGGTGTACAACCTCTGAGATAAAACAGAGAATGGTCAACCTCAGAAGGGCAGAAGATAAACTAGCGGAGGTGATCTCAGCGATACCAGCACAATGGAAGCAGATCTTGGATCCGGGTAGCCTTGACCCACCAGGCACTTGGTACACAGACAAGCAAGCCCAGGACAAGACACAGTTCTGGAAGCTCGTAAGCTTCGAAGAGGGTGGAGGGCGCAAGTTCGAGTTGTGGCTGAGAGGAGCAACCCAGTCTTCGGCACTGCTCACACGAATGGAGGAAGAAGATCGAATCACCAGACCACCGCCAGTCCTGACGCAAGTAAGCGTCAAGGAGTCCTGTAACGAAGAGGGCGAATGGACAGCTTTCCTTAGAGGCAACGGAACTCCCATTGCAGAAAAAAGAGCAGTGCCAACACAATGGGCATGGAGGGGGAGAGGTGCTGATGGCACGGATGAATATGTGCTAGACTATTCGATAGACCTGGGGTACAAGGTTCAGAACAGAGTAAAATACCCACAAATGGTAGCAGCAGACAGATGGATAAGGGTACTCCAAGTAGATCCAGAGCAAATCATAAGAGCAACTCTGCGCTGTTGGCAGCAACTTTACCTGATGCCATCTCAGAGACTCGCAGTTACTCTGTGGTTACTGTCCTTATATGCCACTCCGTCAGCAGTTTGGCTCAGCGAAAGAGGAATGAGGATCGATACAACCTGTAAACGGTGTCAATGGGCATTCGAGTCCACAGTCCACCTTTGGTGGGACTGTCCGGCCTCAGCCCGTATCTGGAAATGGTGGGCTAAGACCTGGAATAGGATCTCTAACGAAGCACTTCGATGGGACAAGGAATGGGTTCTGCTGGGAGGCTGCCCGACAACACTACAGCTGGACGAAGGATGGGGTTACGTGGCACAAGTAATCCGGGCGATTGGTTTTGCAGTGATCTGGATAGGACGGAATAAGCGAGTCTTCAACGAGGAGGATGTGACAGACAAGGAACAGACGAGCTTGTTCAAACTCCAGATTAGGAATGCGATTGCAGCGGACTGGAGGAGGAAGGTACAGAAGCCACCTGACAAGGGTAGGGGTAGAAGTTGGTTCGACAGAACATGGGCAAACAGGGGCGGCCTGGTGACGGTAGTGGACTCAAAACTGGAGTTTTCACAGTGGCTACGAAAATGTATACTATGCGTCAGGTAGAAAACTGTTACATACTCCAATGAGTATGGGCAGAACCAAGAATCAACCAATATAGGATGAGTTTTTATGCAGTGGAAGGCTTATAACGAACTGACTCAC